GGCTCTTAAAAGAACTATACTATCCTTAACTGCTACTTCATGCATGAGGCTACACTTCTGGAAAGAACCCAGTAGGAATTAATAATGTCAATTCATGGGAGCCAATATATTCTTTGTATGGCTGCGTAAGTTATTTTAGGATTTTTAGTTAATCCAGCTTTGAGGTGTGGATGCTCTGCATGGGTTCCATTTCAAAATTCTTGGACATAAGCACTCCAATCTGATCCACCACACACTACTACTTCAACATGTCTACTCTCCTGATCATATTAGATTAGCAGCATTGTGCCCACAAGGTAGCATGCCAGCTCTAAAAGGGTGTAGAAGCTCACCAAATATAAATTTAGAATGCAAGTGGCATTGATTCTATGAAAAATATTCTTCTGGCGGTAAGAAGTTCCAGATATAGGGCCATATCATATGCTACACTGCAATGGTATCACATCTGTCAACACTTGTGGGCAAGATAAAACGTTTTCTAATAATGATAAATACAAGTACAAGACAGACAATATCTACCTTTAGTCACAAGGTATTTTAAGTTTAAAAAAAGCTAGCTAGCTAAGGTTAGATCATAGGAATAATGGCAAAGCTTGTGTGTATCAAGAGTTCTTTACATTGTCTGTGTCTATCTTATTGATGTACTATGATTTTTATGGTCTAAAAATGGTAACCTGTGTAAGTCTGACATCTGGATATCTCAATCTGCAATTTGGTTCAGTATATCACCTAATGATCTGACCAACTAAAATTTCCACTGCAGTTTAAAAAACAAAAATGTATTCTTCCTACCCATCCTAAAGTAGTATTTCATTTCTATCTGGAAGTAACAGCTTTTCAGTAAAGTGTGAGAGTGCTATATAAAATTAAAATAATTACCCTATATGCTAAATATCGATTTCATTGCAACAAGCAGTTTGGGGCACACACAATTTTAAAAGTAATCTAAATATGATCTGAGTGTGAACAGATGCAGTATTTTCCTATTAATCAAAACAAATATTTGGGACTAGCTCCAGTGCCTCTGTTACTGCTCATGGCTTTGCCCAGGTGCAGGATGAAAACTGCCCTTATTAAAAAGTACTAAACAGCTACGAAAATTACAAGAATCAGTGGCAATACGTGTATTTTTCATCCTAGGAAAGGCTTAACTCTCTAGCCTAGGTGGTATTGGGAAAGCGTTTAAAATCCTGGTTATTGCTACCAATATTCCCTCTAATATTTTCCATTCATGTACAGAATCATTTTTATCTCTGGTTATCACCCAGGCAACATTTGACTCTCACTAGCGTGGCCATCCAAGCACTCATCTTACAGGGAACACTGATTGTTACCCTGTTTTGGGAGTCATGAATATTCCTGTATTGACTAGGCCTGATTTTCAAACTAGGCCTCACCATGTGCTTATAATTGTGTTTGCACTGGATTGTCAGAAAAAAGCATTAACAAATGGCAAGCACAAAATAGTAGATATTTACTACGCATACAAAGTGTGCCTCAAAATGATGTAATCAAGCTTTATTTATTTTACTATTTATTAAAAGACAAACTTTTATTATGTGTGTTAATCTGATAGTACAATTATTCAATCTATTGGTTCTGTGAAGCCTAAACAAGCAGTGACAATAAGTGTTCCAAGTCTTCTTTTGTTTTCATTGTATCTAGCAAAGAATGCTACTTGTGAAAGTAACAGATTGGAAAACTGATAACTGCTGTAGTTCCTCTTTCTTAACTCTCATCTCTCTCTCAACCTACCTTTCCCTTCCCCCTTCTTGCCACACTCGATTTTCCACATAGTAGAGGTTACTGCTTAAAACGTCAGACACATAACCTTAACACGTTACATAAGCTAGAGTTAAACATACTTAGTTGCTTTTATTTTTAAATGGCTTTACAAAAATAATTTGTAACTTACACTCTAGTAGTGCCAAGAGCCCATGGTATGGACTGGAACCTCCCCGCCCCCCTACTATGGAAGGTATTTTATGAAACACATAACTAAAGCTCATGAATTCTACTTTCTCTTAATGATTAAAGTCACACTGCACAGAATAAAGCTAACCCATGCGGCTTACTACAATAGCTTACCCTAACTATTTGTGTGTGCTGTCGTTCAACGGCAAGGTGCAGTGCAGTTTGCTGATTTACATTCTGGATATCCAAGTTAGCATTGCCCTGAAAAAGATGTTAAGAATGTCAGATTTCAACATTCTATCCGGAAGTAAGGTAGCTAGTTAGAGCATACAATAAGATTCTGAATGTGCTAACTCTTCGATTTGGGAACATGGTAGAAAAAAATTAACAAGGTCAATTTTTTTTTTTTTAGAGTACCCAGCTTTCACTTAGGTACTAATACAAAGTAACTAGCTTTCAGAGGTGTTCAGCACCTACCAGCAATTTTAGGTACCTAAACGGGAAATTACTTTTGAAAATTTGGTCTCAAATTTTAGGTACAAAACTTCTGAAAAAGTTTCCCTGCATGTTTAATTTATGGAAATAAGTTAAGGAATGTAAAACCAATCTTCATTCTCTAAACTTGAATACCAAGAACTTCACATGTTGAATAGTAATAGAGAGGTAGCCGTGTTAGTCTGATCTTGCTAAAACATAAGGAAAAACTATGTAGCACTTTAAAGACTAACAAGATGGCTTAATAGGTGATGAGCTTTCATGGCCCAGACCCACTTCCTCAGATCATATTCTGGAAGAGAGTTGGCATGACCATATATACCAAAGGAAAACAATGAAAAAAAGTGAACACATTATTAAACTGACAAATCAGATTTAGTACAGAAGGTTAGGTAAGGGAGAGGGAGGGAGGGAATAGCTATTTATGAGTCAATGAATGGCTAATCAGGGGTGATAAGTGGGGAAGCTATCTTTGTTACGATTACAGTAATAAGCATCTTTGTTAAGACCCATTCATAAAGTGTCAAATTTAAACATGAAAGAAAGTTCTGAAGTTTCCCTCTGTTGTTGGTAAGAATCTTCCTCGGGTTAGGTGGCTGTCTATGGGAGACTATGGGTCTGTCCCCCAGAGCCTCTTGGAGTATAAGTCCTGTTCCAGTATAGGTTGTAGGTTATTGATAATGCATTGGAGGGGTTTAAGTTGGGGGCTATAGGTGATGACAAGTTGTGTTCTAATATTGGCTTTCTTGGGACTATCTTGAAGTAGATGGTTTCTGGGTATTCATCTGGCTAACCTCAGGAAGATTCTTAACCACCACCAGAGGACATACCACATTAATACCAACCCTGGAACTTTCCCTGTAACAAACCCCATTGCCAACTTTGTCCACATATTTACTCTGATGACACCATCACTGGACCTAACCATGTCAGTTATATGATCAAGAACACATATTCCTGTTCATCCAGAAATATAATTTATGCCATCATGTGCCAACAGTGTCCTTCTGCTATATATATTGGACATACTTCTCAGACACTTCGCCAAAGAATTAATGCCCACAAATCAGACATCTTCACAAGGAAAAACCAGTTGCTTTTCATTTCAACCTACCTGGACATAGTCTTAACGACCTTTCTACATGCATCTTACTTCAAAGAGACTTTAACACCAGATTACAGAGGGAAACTTCAGAACTTTCTTTCATGTTTAAATTTTACGAATTTAACTTTACGAATGGGCCTTAACAAAGATGCTAATTACCTTAACCATTACAAAGATAGCTTCCCCACTTATCACCCCGATTAGCCATTCATTGACTCATAAATAGCTATTCCCTCTCTCTCTCTCCCTCACTTCACCTTCTGTACTAAATCTGATTTGTCAATTTAATAATGTGTTCACTTCTTTCATTGTATTCCTTTGGTATATATGGTCATGCCAACTCTCTTCCAGAATATGATCTGAGGAAGCAGATCTGGGCCATGAAAACTCATCACCTATTAAATCATCTTGTTAGTCTTTAAAGTGCTACGTAGTTTTTTCTTTTGTTTTAGCAAGAACGTCATAATTATAGGTAGAATGAAAGGGAGAAGGCTGAAGGCTGATGATATAGTTTTTAAACTATAACTGAAAAAACACAATTAGTGAATCCTTAAGCTATAAATAAATGAATTATCCTCAACCGCCTTATTTAAGAGGCTCAACATTCTTAACCCTTCAATTGTGCATTCAGGAGGCTGCTGAACTGCCTGTGGGATTGTCCAATTGGACTGTGAAAGAGGAAAGAGAAAACATTGCTAATCACTTAAATAAATGTTAATGATTTTTAAAATTACTACACAATTTCCAAGTTTTGTACTCTAAATTATTACATTTGTTCATAAAAGTAATACAGCAATTTTGTCTCTGCATCTATTACAACTAAGCCAATACAATAACGATCCAAAGGGCAAGCTTGGCACATAGTACTGGGAATGCAGCCCAGTACTATCCCAGTTGCCTTCTCAGGCATCTGCTTCAATAAGGTTAATCAAAGACATGTGACACATTTCAGTCCTCCTGAGAAGAAAGCTCTACCTGATGCACCAAGAGTTCAGCCACTTCCACATGATTATTGAGTGCTGCCAAATGTAAAGCAGTATAGCCGTCATCCTTCTTCTCATCCACAATCCATGGCCTTGGTAGCTTGGACAGCAACACACGCATTGCACTGAAATAAATATAAAAGGTTGTTACAGAAACATGGGCAGACATCTGTTGGATGACAACAGTGTTCACATATCAGAACTATAAACAAGTTGCTAAGTTAAACTGGCAAATTTTAGAAGTATGTAAAAAAAATCACATTAAAGAGCTTTAAACATAAAAATTCTAAATTAAGATGCTTGACTTAAAAGATAAACCAATTCTGTAAAACATCTGAACAGTTATGGAACCAAGTTTTTTGCCCTACTGAAAGATTAAAGAGCAACTGCAATTATATTAAGCTAAAATACACACATGTTCAATTTTTGGAATGGTTATTTATGTATTTCTATTTGAAATTACCAAGAGTCTTCTTTCACTTAATTACACTGTGCTATGCCACTTTAAAATCTCGGATTTTAATACCTGACTAGGCTCATTATGACTCAGAAGAGGAAGATGGTGGCTTCTCACTGAGAAGGATTCTAATTTTTGAGATAAACTGGGAAATGACGCATGCAAATACACAACTGAAATTGTAGGTCGAATATTAATGCAATATATGTATTTTCATAATAATCAGACCAGTGGTCAATCTACTCCAATATCCTATCTCATAGAAGCCAGTACTAAATAGTGAGAAGGTGGTAAAGAAGCTTGTAACAGTTTACTGAGCTTTTAATAATATTTTCAAGTTCATGAGAATATAGCAGTTGACTTCTAAAATAGTTTCTATTTGACACAACTTGTGTCTAGCCTCCAGGCAGTCCCTATTCACAGATATCACAGCACATTGAACTCAGAGCTCATACTAGAAGCTGAAAATGTTTACTGTGATTATTCTAACTAATAAAAGCGTAATAGCTATATTAATTATAGTAATGTTATCCCCATAACAAGTGTTTTTAGAGCCAATGTATCTAGAAGGGATGATACTGAAACTGAAGTTGCACTGCTGTCTGGGGGAGGACAGTTCAGCTGTATGGAATATCATGTGTTCTATCAAATTTCTGCCCCAAATTACTCTCTCATGGATTCACAAACAGTATGTTGGACTGGAAGGGACCTTGTGAGGTCATTTAGTCCAGTCCCCTGCACTCACGGCACGACTAGACCATCCCTGGCAGGTGGTTTATCTAACCTGCCTTTAAAAATCTACAATGATGGTGATTCCACAATCTCCCTAGGCAATTTGTTAACCACCCTGACAGTTAGGAAGTTTTTCCTAAAGTTCAACCTAAACTGCCATTGAAGCAATTTAACTCCCTTGTCCTATCCTCAGAGGTTAAGGAGAACAATTTTTCTTCTACCTTCTTGCACAACCTTTTATGTACAGGCAGTCCCCGGGTTACATGGATCCGACTTACCCCGTTTGTAAGTAGGGATCCGATGGGAGGCAACCCCGCACTAGCTGCTTCCCGCCAGCAGACCAGGGAGACGCGAAGCTAGCGCCCCCCCTCCTCCAGCAGACCAGAGAGATGCGGAGCGGCTTTTCTCAGCAGACACCTCAGCTTGAGAATAATACCCTGAGGGAAGTGAGGTGTGGGAGAATAAAACTGAGCTCTGGAGAAATGTTTGGCTAGAGTTTCCCCTACAATATGTACCAGTTCCGACTTACATACAAATTCAACTTAAGAACAAACCTACAGTCCCTATCTTGTACGTAACCCGGGGACTGCCTGTACAGGTTGAACCTCTCTAGTCTGGAACCCTTGGTACCCGATAGGTGCTGAATCAGACAATTTACTGAATCATGCAACGTCAATGTTGTCTAGCAGCATTACCAACACTTCCACTGTTTACTTAACTCTTAGAAAACATGTAGGGGTAAATTAGAGTTAAATAACAGCACAGAACTCTAAGAGCCAGGACTGGTGGCTATAAATAAACTCTATGGAACCATGGGAAAGTTGGCCACACCAATGGTAAGTGGACATCCAACTAACTAAAAATCATGCCAGACCACGGATGTTGCTGGACCAGAGTATGCTGGACTACAGAGGTTCAACCTGTACTTGAAAACTGTTATCATCCCCATTATTATGATAAGAACAGATGTTCAGGCTGCCCATGTACCACCCAGTCTGCTACACTCCACCAGACTGACACTGCATATATTCTCCCTCTTACTTATGTAGGATTCAGAGGTAGCATAAAGTGATGTGGACAAATAGCAACACTGATATTTATCATGCATGCTTTTTAAACTTTTTTTTTAATTAAAGGAACGAGTAAAACTCGTCCTAAAGGGTTGTTGTTTTTATTATTAAATTTAGGTGCATTAGGCTCTGGTCAAATGTTCAGTGTGTTTGTGTGTGCATGCATGCACAAACAGTTGGCACAACAGACCTCAAGCAAATCGCTTGAGTATAAGATCCATTAAGGTATGAAGGCACCTGGCCAGGTTTATTTTTGACAAAGAACAGTATTAGCACCTTGCAGAATCTACAAGGATAGAGACACATGCCTGTGACAATGGACTCAGCTCAGACAATAGTGGGACTCTCCACTGCCCCCTTGGCTAGCCAAAGATACTCCTTCTGTGATACATCTTTATATCCTCAGATAAAGAAGTTACATACTGTATACTGACCTTATCTTTTAGGAAGGGTCAGTGTGTTTGTTATCTTTGGGGTATGTTTTTGTACTATCCTTGATATAAGGCAGGTCCCCTGTGGGGCTAAAGCAACACCCTGCCTGTGGGTATTTACCCACTATCCCAGAAAAGCACACAGCACTAACTGAAAAGGACCCAGCACACTAAATACCAGGACCGGCTCTAGGCATCAGCAAAACAAGCAGGTGCTTGGGGTGGCACATTGCCAGGAGCAGCATTCCGGCCCACAGGAGGAGCAGGGCGGTGGGGAGTCCGGCGGAGGCCGCCCCAAGCTGGGAGCCCTGCACCTGGCTGCTCAGAGCCTGTGGCTGGCCCCGGAAAGCTGGGAGGGTGGGGTGTCACAGTGTCACAGCTGCTGGCACTGAGCCCAGCGGGGCAGGCTGCAGCCACGGGGGCTGCTCCCACCAGCCCGGACGCGGGGGG